GGGGGGGATATAGCAGGAGGGTCGGTGGAAACTTCGGGGCGCAGCCAGCGCCGATGTCCAAAATGGCTCCGGGGACGTTTCTCTGACGGCTCTGCCGGGCAGGATGGGGTTTTTTTTGGGGAGGCGCTGGGATGGGTTCAGGGGATGGCGTGGGGGGGTTCAGGGATGCTCGGCCCCCCTCCATGTGCCACCCCGGGGTGCTGGGAGCTGAGCACCCCCCGGCTCCTGGCCCCGTGGGGGTTGCCGGTGGCTGGTGGCTCTCACCCCGCAGTCCCAGTGCCGCCGGGAGCCACGCTCCCCGTGCTCGTGGCCATCCCATGGTGGTGAGGAGATGCTGCCGTCCCGGGGCTCGGCGTCACCCATGGGGTAGGAGCCTTGGCATTCCCACTCAGCCACTGTTGGATCCTGCTCATCGCTCTCGGAGCCCTGCACCGCGATTTGTGGCACCTGGTTGGGTTTGGGCCTGGGCTCCGTGGCACCACACCAGAGAGCTGTGCCCTGCCTGCCTTCGCTCTTCCCACCATCATCACTCGCCGCCGTCGTCGCCTCCGGTTCATCAAAACTCACTTCTTGAACGGCTTCTTGCTTCTTGAAGGAGTCCCGCCGCTCGGAGAGGTTCAAGCGCCTCATGACCACCATCTCCTGGTCCCTCTCGTGCCTCTCCCCCAGCCGGGAGCTGGCGGGGTGATACCCGTGCTCCCCGGGGTACGCCAACGCTTCGCCCTCCATCGTGGTCTCCCCGTCCATGGTGGTCACCTCCAGCCCCAGCTTTCGGCCACCACCCCCTGTCTTCTTCTCCGCCAGGACGGTGACGATCTTCTCGGCCGACTGGACGCGCTTGAGGAGGGGGGAGCGGGGGCAGTCGGCGCTGCGGGGCCGCGAGCTCTGCCGGACGATGGTGGGGGGGGACAGGGTCTTGCCCTGGAAGGAATGAGGGGTTTTGGGGTACCCCGGGAGTGGGGATGGGGAGCGCTGGGGAGAAGGTGGGCGCTGGGAGGAGGAGGAAGGGGTGCAGGCCAGGGGCGAGGGGGGGATGCTGCTGGTGGATTTGCGCCGTCCCACTTTGTAGCGGGCCGCCCCCCCCAATTTGGGCGCCAGCCCGTGCAGGGAGCTGGGGCGCACGTGGCCGGCGGGTGACGTTGGGGTGCTGGAGGATGGAGAGGTGCTCTGTGGGGACACAGCATCTGCCACACAAAGAGAAAGAGGTCACGGTGAGGGATGGGGGGGACACAGGGCATCCCCGTAAATATCTTCCCCTCCACCCCCACCAAAAAAAAAGGGGTTGGGGTACCTGGGGGGAGATCGGGAGCGGGGCTGCGGCAGGGGGTGGTGGGCCCCGGGGACAGGCTGTGCGTGGGGGACTCCGGGAGGCTCTCGCTGGAGGAGAGGGAGTGATGGAGACCCGAGGAGAAGCTGCGGCTGGTGTGCAGGACCGAGGACTGCTTGGAGATCTTCTTGAAAAGGCATTTTCTCCTGGTGTTGGGAATTGGGGGGACGGGACACGACGACACACAAAGGTTGGGGGGGGGAAAGAAAAAACCTCAACTTCTCCTTAAAGCAGGACCAGACCCCTCTGGACGCCCCAGTAGGGCAGAGTGAGAGCATCCCCTCCCAGTACGGGATGCACTGGGACAGATGCCATTTTATCCCAGCCCGGTGGTACCCACCTGTCCTGGCCATCCCTTTTCCTGCTCTTCTTACTCCTCCTCGCCATCCTCGTCTTGGAGCTGTTTTTCCGAGCGGGGCCGATTTTGATGGAGGTGTTCTCCAGGGCAGTGGTCCTCAGGGCCACTTTATTCCCACTCTGAGGGGCAGAAAATCAGTCACTGAAGCCCAAGCACCGGATCCCAACCAGGTCCCACCTTGGCTGTGGGTGGAAGGGATGCTGGGGAGCCCCAGGACCAGTGCTGCTCACCCACCTTCAGCAGCAGCTCGACGACGTCCCGGTGAACTAAACCCAGCACGGATTCGCCGTTCACATGTGTGATGAGATCACCAGCTCTCAGCCCTGCTTCCTGCGCCGGGCTCCCTTCTTCCACGCTCTGCGATGGGAAACCCAAGGTTTTATTTGGATACAAACCTAAGTTGCCTCCGGGGGGTTTTCCCATCGGGAAAAGCGGTGTGCCAGCCCTGCCAACCCCTCCTCAGGTGTGGAGCCACCTACCCAGACCATATGGTGGACGGTGTAGACGTCGCTGTCCCCCATGTAGACGCGGATGGCTCGCAGGGTGAAGCCGTACTTCTTGCCCGAGCTGTGGATGATGATGGGGGGTCGCAGGCTGGCGATGGCGAGGGACGAGTCCCGGCTCGGGGAGGAGTCCCGGGAAGAGGGGTTGGAGGAGAGGGAGTGGGGAGAGATAGGGCTCATCAAGGCACCACCACCGAAGTCATCTGCAAGAGGGAGAAGGTGGCTCAGTCCTGGAAAACCAGGTGGGAGCTGCCATCCGGCAGGAGGGACCGCACAGCGCACGGACCTGATGTGATGATGAGGGACAGGGCTGAGACGGAGGCAGATTTGGGGACACGGCCACCCTGGGAGGTTCTCTGCCGATCTGGCACGTCCTTCTGGCTGCTCAACCGACGGCTCTTGCCCGGCTCCAGGCTCCGGGGAGCCGAGTTTTTGGTGCCGGTGCTGTTGCTCCGCAAGCGGATGCGGTTCAGGCTGACGAGATCAGCTGTGCAGAGGGAAGGAAGGAGAGTTTGGGGACGTGGAAAAGCCACCCCACACCATGCGGGACCATGGCTTGACCCCGGAGCATCCCACCCATTCCCTGCATCCTACGCACCCGATAACGCCGCCGGCTTCACCGCGCTGCCGGTCCCCGCATCGGGGTCTCCCAGCACAAACTTGGGTCTCTCCGGCTTGGAGGATGCCACGCAAGGGCTTTCATCCTCTGAGGAGAAGGCAAATTTGGGCATGGTGTCCAGGCTGTAGGTGCTGGGCAGAGCGGCGGGGCTGCGGCTTCGCTCGTGCCGGGAGGTGTACGGCGTGGAGCTGCAGGATGTCCAGGAGCGGAGGCTGTTGGTGGGGAGAGAGCAGGAGGGCTCAGGATAAGGAAAAATGGGCGAGGGGGATGGCACCGAGCTGCTGTGGCACCACAGGACACGTCCCACCGACTCCTGGGTGCTGGCACAAGCCCTCGGTGCCGGCACGAGCCCCCACCAGCCCTGCACCCCGCGTCTCACCACGCACCGGGGCTCGGGGCCCGCCAGCCGGCTCCTCTCCTCGTCTCCCGAGTGCCTGTCCCATCGCTCCTCTTTGTCCTCGCTGTGACTCCGGTCGGAGGAGGAGAGGCTGAGGTTGGAGTGAGCCGCCAAGAATTCGGAGCTGCTGTACACCTGAGGAGGAGAGGAGCCCTCAGAAATTGGGGAACGCGGGGATTCTGGCCTCAGCCAGGAGAGAGAGATGCTCGGTGCAACCCTTCCCGGCCACGGCACCCATGGTTTGGGATGGTGGAGGAAGGGTTGGAGCACCTTGCTGAAGCGGTGGGAGCAGGAGGAGAACTGCCCGATCTCCACGGAGGATTCCTCGTCGTTGGTTTCTTCATCCTCCGAATCCAAGTGGCGGTACCTCTCGGAGCGAGCTGCGAGTGAGAGCAGGGGCTGTCACCCTGCCTGCAACACCGTCACCCTGTCCCCCCTCCCCGTGGAGCTCCCATGGGACCTGCGCCCACCAGGAGCTGTGTTTGTGGCTGACAGCCCGGTCCCAAACCCCAGGAGAGTTTTGGGGTGAGAAAGCAAGGGTTTTGGTAAAGCTGAGGAGCCTGGAAGCGGGATTGCGTCTGTTTTGTGACTTCAGTTATAAAGTCACTGACTTGATCCAGGAGGTTCTCATCTCCCATGGGATCATCCAGATGGGATATGGGATTGGGGAGGGGGTTGGAGGGAGGGATGGGGATGGATTTGGCCTCACTGTCGAAGTAACTGGTGTCGTCCTCCGACTCCAGCTGGGGGATGAACTCGGCCTTCTGCCGCAGCAGCCCGTTCCAGTCCAGGTGGAGGAAGAAGGAATGGTGCTTCACCTCGTGCGCACCCCCTGCCAGGCAGAAAAACCCCACGTCAAGGTTGGGGGGGACAGGGCAGGATCTGGGCTGCTCCTGCTCCCACCCCAAATGGCACGGTCCCTCCTCCGTGCAGAGAAAAGGGAGGATGGACCAGAGCCCTGCACGGCCTTCCCGGGTTGAATCCCGAGCTGAGGACCTCCTCCGAGCACCCTCAGCGCGGCAGGACAACGCCGTGGTTCCAGCAAACGGCTGAATTTGGTGAATTTGGTGAATTAGGGGGGCTGCCCCCCCGCCACGTACCGGTGCCCAAGCGCTCGAGGGGACTCTGTCTCAGCAACCGCGTGATGAGGTCCTGGGCGTCCGCAGGAAGAGCCTCGTCCCCTTCCGGCCACATAATTTCATCTGCAAGGAAAAAGGAAAAGGAGTTTGGAGCGGGTGGAAGAGTTTGGACACAATAGGGGCTGCGATGACATGAGGTCACAGGAAAAGTCATTTCTGGGCAAGAGGAAAGTCCCTCAGGAGCTGCAGAAGATGAAAGCATCCTTCCAAACCGGGAAATCAAAGCTTGAGGAGCCTTCTCGCCGTGCAACCGAGTATGAAATGATGGAATGAAGCTCTCCGTGTGTTAAGGACAAGCCATGACTGCTGGGAAGTGTGAACTGAGGAGCAAAGTTGATGACACTCACCACTGATGACCTGCCCAAAGAGCTCCTCGGGAGTGTCTCCGAAGAAGGGGACGCAGCCCACCAGGAACTCATAGAGGATGATGCCCATGGCCCACCAGTCGACAGGCTTCCCGTAGCCTTGTATGAGGATGACTTCTGGGGCGATGTACTCCGGAGTGCCACACACCTGCGTGGGACGCAGCGGCTGACACCTCTGCAACGACCTCTGCAACAGGTCCTGAGGCTACCCGGGTCCCCAGTGATGGCAGATCGGTCAAGCAGGACAGGATCTCGTACCTGCTTGTCCATGAACTCCCGAGTGTCCTTCTCCATGTGACCTTCGTAGAGGTTTGTGGTCATGTTCATCAAGCCAATCTTTGACAGACCGAAGTCTGTCAGCTTTATGTGGCCCATGGAGGTGATGAGTAAACTGCAAGAGAAGACAGACGCCTTGCAACGAGGCCATTTGCTTCTAGGGAGACCTGACCAGGACCAGCAGGACCCCAAGACCTCTGGGCCTGGTTGCAACAGCACAGAAGCAGGTCTTTGGGCACCAAAACCCATGACCTCATTCTGCCTTATCCTCTTGGCTTGGATCAGTCCCTCTCCCTTCCCCATCCAAACCCAACCTTGTCCTTGCTCAGACCTGACCCACATCCTCACTTGTCGGGTTTGAGGTCCCGGTGGACAATGCCATAGTTGTGGAGATACTCCAGTGCCAGAACGGTCTCAGCGAAGTACATCTTCGCCATGTCAACAGGCAGTGGGCCCATGTTCTTCAGCAATGTGGCACAATCGCCCCCTGTGGGGACATGGGTCCTCCTGAGCATGGGGGGCTCAGAGAAGAGCATCATGAGATGTCCAGGTGGTGCCCTCAATGCTCAGACATTGATAATCTCCCACCTCCCTCCAGCTCTGAATCCCATTCTCACCTTCCACGTACTCCATCACCATGCAGAGGTGTCGCTTGGTCTCGAAGGAGCAGAACATGCTGACCACAAAGGGGTTCTCCGCGAAGGTGAGGATGTCCCTCTCCACAAACACCTGCTGGATCTGGTTCCTCAGGATGAGGTTCTGCTTGTTGATTTTCTTCAAGGCAAAGCGCTGCCGCGTCTCCCTGTGCCTCACCAGGTACACGGCCCTAGAGGAGAGGCTGGACCTCAAAATGTGTCCTCCAACCACCAGGACCAACCACGCAGCACCTCGGGCCTAAGATGGGGAGGACTTTGGAGAAGGTTACGGATGGAGACAAGTGTTAGGAATTTCCCAACTCACCCGTAAGCCCCGTTGCTGATCAGCTTGATGGTCTCAAAGTCCCCCTCACAGGGCTTCCTCCGAGGAGCGGTGGTCAAAGGCTGGCTCTGAAGAAGACACAGAAGGTTTTTAACATTTCCTGGCAGGCCAGCACTCTGAGTGCAGGCAGGAATTCACCAAGCACCATCATGTATCACTCCTGATTGCTCCTCACTGCCAGAGGACATCCCTTCCTGAGCCCTCTCCAGACACAAACCCCAAACCAGAAGGCCAAGATGTTCTGCAGATCAAAAGTCCACTCTCAGCTCTGTCCGCTTAAGAGGTGAGATGGGGGACCATGAGATATTACACCTGAACACAGCAGCCACTCTTGGGGACAACCCAAATTAACCTCTCTCAGCCTAAGACAGCAGAGGAGCTGCTGCGAGGAGCTTTGGTGTGGGGTGAGGCAGGACAAAGTCAGAGGCAGGAGGTGGGACACACAGGTAGGACCATGCTCACCTCACAGGCATCATCGTTCTCCGGCGTGATGGTGTTCCCGCTGTCAAAGTGATCCAGCTGGACCATTTCTGTAGAAGACAGGCATCTTTTTCACCTTTTCATGCTCAACCCCCACCAAAATACCGGCCCCACCAACCACTCTCCCTCCCAACTCAGAGATCCCGCAGGGATTTAGCGCTTTGCTCGCACTATCGTATGGAGAAATTCAGGTCACGGCGTTAAGAGGTTCAACACGAGGCTAAACATTTACATAATTCTCTTTTTTCCATAGTCATTCCCGTGTTCTTTGGGGATTATGGTCCCCCCCCGCCGGGGCCGTGGCTTCCTATGGATTAAGCGTTCTTGAGCTTAATCTACTTTGATGAACGTGTTGGGAGCAATAAGGAGGGATGTGGGGCTGGACGTGGACACCATCCTGGTCCTGCTGTGACCCACCCCATGACACCAGCTCAGTCCTGTCGGTGCCCCTGCCACCTCCTAGTGAGGGGAGTGTGCTCATTCATGCTCGCCAGTGGCCAAACTAGGAGTCCACATCCCACCGCAGACCTCGGGGCCACAAACCCAAGCGGTTCCCTACCCTCCAGTGGGTCCTTGACGAGACCCAGTTGGCTGATGATGTATCGGGGAATATCGGTCTTTATTCCCTGGCCAACTTTGGCGTGTCCTTCTGCAGCTTCCAGGAGGTGGTAAAACTCTTCTGGGTCAAACTCCTGGATGGGGAAAACCAAACACAGTTGAGGAGCAAGACCTTGCAAAGTTAAGCCTTTCCTCTAAGCCTTGATGGACAAAGATAAAGTCTTTGCCTCCTCTCCAAGCAGGCACAGACCATGAAAGACAAGAAGCATCAGGAGCTGCAGTGTCTTACCAGGCACTCCAGAAGGCGAGCAGGACGGGAGATGATGATCAGCAGCTTCCTCACCAGTTGGTCAATGAACTTCACCTCCTCACTCTCCGAACGCTCCTGAGCCTGCAGGAGAGAAGCCAGGTGTCTATCGGTGGCCTCAGGAGATGGCACCAGGCAGGGAATTGCCCTGTACTCACATCTCGGAGCATCTTCTCAAGTTTCTCCTGCAGCTCCATGAAGTAGCGGGAGGTGATGAGAGCTCCCTGGGACTTCGCCAGGCAGTCACGAGCCAGCTCGATGATCTGGTGGTGGATGAAGCCCAGCACCCCGTCTGCCAGCGGCAGAGTGCTGCTTGGAGAGAAGTTTGTGATGGTGTCCTGCAGACGCTCTTCCATTTGGGCTGTGGCCTGCAAGGCAGAATGGATGGTCGTGCCTGGGAACACGTGTCCCCATACCATGTGTTGGGTTTGGCCAGCCAGGATCTCATGCTACCACCTCCTGCAGCTCCAACAGCCATATGCACATCATGGCCCCACCTGGGATCCAGCTTCCAAGGCTGGAAAAGCTCCACCAAAGTCTCCAGAGACCATTGCCTGCATGTGTGGTGATGCAGACCTGCAGGTCCCTACCTCCTTGGTTCATTACCACTTTTCCAGTGTCCTCAACACCCTCCTCCCAGTATCTACCCATGCATTTTATATTCCAGCACGGAGGAGAGGTTGTGCTGAAGAAGACACTGCCAGGGCGCTGCAGAGGGACCAACACGTTTGTCCTCCCCAGTCCCAGCAGTTACCTTGGGGAACCGCTCCTTGTAGACATGGTTCATCATCACAACCTCGTTATCAAACGTTCCACTCGTCCGTCCAGGGCTGCGGAGGGAGGAAGCCAGTTGTGTTACAAGGTCCAAGTCATTTACATCTATGTAAATAGCTACCGCCCCTGGAGAGCTATTTGTTCCTTCCTACAGCCATGTGCACATCATGGCCCCACCTGGGATCCAGCTGTGCCTGGGAACACGTGTCCCCATACCATGTGTTGGGTTTGGCCAGCCAGGATCTCATGCTACCACCTCCTGCAGCTCCAACAGCCATATGCACATCATGGCCCCACCTGGGATCCAGCTTCCAAGGCTGGAAAAGCTCCACCAAAGTCTCCAGAGACCATTGCCTGCATGTGTGGTGATGCAGACCTGCAGGTCCCTACCTCCTTGGTTCATTACCACTTTCCCAGTGTCCTCAATACCCTCCTCCCAGTATCTACCCATGCATTTTATATTCCAGCACGGAGGAGAGGTTGTGCTGAAGAAGACACTGCCAGGGCGCTGCAGAGGGACCAACATGTTTGTCCTCTCCAGTCCCAGCAGTTACCTTGGGGAACCGCTCCTTGTAGACATGGTTCATCATCACAACCTCGTTATCAAACGTTCCACTCGTCCGTCCAGGGCTGCGGAGGGAGGAAGCCAGTTGTGTTACAAGGTCCAAGTCATTTACATCTATGTAAATAGCTACCGCCCCTGGAGAGCTATTTGTTCCTTCCTCCTAACTCTCAATCCCAAGCAGTTAAAGGTCATCTGAGTGGAGTCATCAGCCTTGGCCCAGCACTTCCAGCAGCTCCCTTCCCACCGTGCGTGGATCGGGAGGTCCCTACGGCCTGCTCCAGGGAAGGTCAACCTCCCACAAACCCAGGTATCTCTTGAAAATCCAGAGCTGAGGAGCTGGTGCACCAGTCAACCTGGCTTTGAAGAGCGAGCTCATCCTTTCCTTCCTTTGGATCCCACAATTTCTCACCATGGTTGCCCTTTTTGCACCTCACCAGCAGAGAAACCCCAAACCAAACCCCATGGTGGATGCAGGGACCTTCCTTCATCAAGGTTTCTCTCTTACCCTCACCCAACATTGCCTCCCTCAGGTCCCTTCCTGGTGATCCTGTTATGCAAAGCAAGTCGCAGGAGCAGCCAGCAACTCATTAACCACTATATAATAAATACGATGATTAAAACCAGACCCAAACCACTCGTTGCCAGCCCCAGCCCAGCCCCTGGCTCAGCCTCTGCCGTGCTGTGCTCACCACAGCGCTGGGATCTCCTCGGTGAAAACCTCCCCACCTGCAAAACCCTTGTCAGATAATTAATCTGATTTTAATGAAATTTCAGCCGGCAACACGCAGGGCTACGGCTCCGCCTCCGGTGCAAAGAGGGTCGGGAGCTTTTCCAGAGGGAAAACAGGATTTAACTGAAACATTCCCTGTAAAAAGCACAAATTCCTAGCACTGGACAAGTGGAAATGTGACCAACTCCTTGTGTGGGACACGGTCTTGGAGCAGCAACGTGGAGCTTGGCAGGTCCATAGGGTCAGTACGATGCTACGGCCACTCTCTTGATGGTCTCCCCAAATTTTCCTCTCTCCATCCCATAAATGCCTGTCCCTCTGTGCTCCTTGTTCTTTGCAGAAGCAAAGGCCAGCCTGATGCTCAGCCCCAGCAAACATGGGTGATGTTTCCCAACCCAAGCCCAAACCCAGAATTTTTAACACTGCTGGGGCTTCTGCTCGATGGTCCCCTTCTCTCCACCAGA